AAAAAAAAAAAAAGGGCGTTGAGAGGAGTATGGGGGGGTTTGTGGGTTTTAATGAATTTATTGCAAATATAGGGATGGAGGAGGTCAGAATGGATGGTTATCAGTTTACGTGGGCAAACAATAGAAGAGCTGAGGAAAGGGTGGAAGCGAAGCTTGATAGAGCTTTTGGGTCTTTTGAATGGTGTATTTCTTTCCCAAAGGCTTTTTTTATGACAGAGGAAAAGAGCGCGTCAGATCACTCCATGCTCATTATTCATTCGGGGTGCGAGGAGAGCAGAAAAGGCAAGATGTTCCAATTCGATAAACGTTGGCTGAAGAGAGACGGCATAAGGGAGGTGGTAGAGAAGGTATGGAAGAAGAATTTGACAGGGACACTGATGTTCATTGTTAAGGAAAAAATCAAACATACTAGAGTGGCGCTGTTAAAGTGGGGCTCAAAATTCAGATCTCAAAACCAAGAGAGAATAGCGGATTTTAATAAGAAATTGGAGGAAACCAGAATAATCCCTGGGATGGATTCTTGGGAAGACATAGAGAATATTCGAAGAGAGCTAAATAAAGTGCACGAGTTGGAGAAAGCTTACTGGCAACAAAAATCAAGGAATTTATGGCTAAAAATAGGCGACAGGAACACGAGATTTTTTCACGCTATCACAGCTCAACGACGGAGAACAAATTCTATCACCAGATTGATTTCTCAGGACAATCAAATTTTCCAAACTCCGGCTGAAATTGTTTCTCATGTCTCTCAGTTCTATAATAATCTCTTTACGTTTGAAGGCACGTCGGGGGCGGATAGTATCGTGCAACTCATCCCAAATTCGATCAGTAATGATATGAATAGAGATTTGGAGGGTTTGGTCGAGGAAGAAGAAATCAAAGAGGCTCTATTTTTGGTGAACCCAGACAAGGCCCCCGGTGAAGATGGTATGTCGGCTCTTTTTTATCAAAAGTTCTGGGATTTAATAAAGGATAACCTGATTAAAGCGGTCCAAAGCTTTTTCCTCTCTGGGAATTTGTTACAGTATTGGAATCAAACGATTATTACTTTGATCCCCAAAGTTGAATCTCCTGAAATGCTTAGTCAATATCGTCCCATCAGTCTCTGCAGTATTTTTTACAGATCCTCTCTAAAATTCTAGCAACGAGGCTTAGATCTTGTTTGCACAGAAGTATCGGCGAATGCCAGACAGCCTTTGTCCATGGGCGCCAAATAATGGACAATGTGATAATTGCGCATGAAACTTACCACTTTCTCAACAGACACAATACCGGGAAAAACTGCTTTATGGCGATCAAATTAGATATGATGAAGGCCTACGACCGGATTGAGTGGAAAAGCATCCAGGTGATTATGCTCAAGATGGGTTTTAGTAGCAAGTTTGTGAATTTGATTATGGCTTGTATTGGTTCAACATCGTTTGCCTTCAACTTGAATGGCACAGTCCAAGGTCGGGTTAAACCATCTCCGGGATTGCGCCAGGGAGACCCGTTGTCCCCGTTTCTCTTTGTGCTGGTGTCAGAAGTGCTATCAATTCTAATTTCAGAAGTTGTTAACCAGCAAAAGTACTCAGGTGTCAAGCTAAATAGAGGAGGACCTTCGATATCTCATTTACTGTTTACCGACGATTCGTTAATATTTGGCAAAGCACTCCCTGATCAAGCTCTTAAGCTCATGGACATACTAGAGAGGTACAAATTATTTACAGGACAAAAGTTTAACCTGGGAAAGTCTGCAATTTTCTTTAGCCGTAATACTCCTCAACACCTTCAGTTGGAGATTTGTGGGATTTTCAGAGGCATTAGCAAGCATACTTCAACAAGGTATTTGGGGCTCCCGTTGGGAATTGGAAGATCAAAGATAGAAACTTTCAAATTTATTCTTGACAGAGTGAGGGATCGACTGCTAAGTTGGAAGAACAAATGGTTATTTGTAGCTGGCAAGGAAGTATTGATCAGAACAGTCATTAATGCACTGTCGGTGTATGCTATGGCTTGCTTTAAGCTTTCGGTCTCCATATGTCAATCTATATGTAAGCTATGTGCAGGTTTTTGGTGGGGGAAAGGAGAAGATGAACGCAGTGGCATTCATTGGAAGAAGTGGAGTTACTTAACTATGCCAAAGAGCAAGGGAGGTCTCAGTTTTCAAGATGTACAGCTTTTCAATGAAGCGCTGATATGCAAGAAACTATGGAGAGTTACTACCCAACCGGATCTTTTAGTGAGCAAGGTTTTAAAAAGTAAATATGTCCCAGACTCATCTTTGGTGGAAGTGAGCAGAAAGCAAA